TCTTGCATATTTTGCGGCGAAAGTACTATAATGGAGACATTTAGTGTTTTTAATTAATGAAATTTTGTGTTTTTAATGAAAATGATTAAAAGTTAGAGCAAATGTTGTTGTAGAAAAAATACTAGTTATTTATTGTATATTTTCAATTGTTTTAATGTCACAAGCAGTTTAGTTTTAAGATTCTGGTATAAGAAACATTTTAATTTTTCTGGAAATTTCTGCTTCAAATTTCACTTTCATTCGTTAATTTTAGATGAGTTATTGAAAAAACACTACAATCTATTTGATTTCAATATTAAGTTCATTTAAGCAATTTGATCAAATTGAATGGAAATCAAAAATAAAAACATTAATTTTTAAAATTTATTATTTTTCGTTTTAAAATTAGCAAACTTTGATAAAATATTTTTGAAAAAATGTTATTGTTGTAACGTTATCAAAATTATACTTGATTAATTGTGCGTGTATACCAATAAATTTTTCTTCAAAAAATACTTTCTTATTTTTATATTAAAAATGAAATATTGCTCTTTTAAAATGGGGATGAAATCATTTCATTGCCGAAAAGAAAAACTTGAACTGAAAAGACTGGGTGTTATTTTTTTTTTGTATGTGTGATGTGAGAAAAACTTAAATATAATCAATGATCCGTTATTAACAATGTTTATTCTTTGTAATTAATCATGCGTTTTACAGTGTCATAACAATTTTAAATTATATTTTTCCACCTGTTGAATAAATGTACCTTTGTATAACATGTATTTCGTATTGCATAATCCATTTTTTCTTATACAGTTTTCATTCTTAATTATTTTTATTAGGACTGGAATTCGTAAGGTATCTGTAATTATGTTAGTTGAGCATATATGCGGATTCGATGGTCGCATACCGAGAACGCTAAAAATAAAAATCACACATAATTGTATAAATTTTTAAAAATTTTAAATGACAGATTTTTTGTTTCTCTTCAAATTTTAGGCCAAAAATTAATTTCTATTCAACATACAAAATATAGGTATTGAAAATTATCCGCAATGTATGCAAATTTTTTCTTCTCTTTCTCTTGAATAGAAAAGTTAAATCGAGCACGTCTAAAATTCGTTCATTTAATATATTCGGACATTTACAAATGACCGTTTTTATTTCTCCTCACATTTCATTAGCATTGGGGTCTTTCATTTGACTTGTTTATAGTAAAGCTTCATTGAGTCAATTGAGTTGGGATTTAATATCGAATACTATGGATATATGATGGGTAACTAGACACTTACAATATTGCTACAGTCACCTGATCAGCTTTTGAACCCAGGACCCTTTAATTACTTAAAGAGTAAAAATTATTTTCTAATTTAGAGCGAGTTCTAATATAAAACGATTTAGTTTCTTATGTCTCGTCTAGAATTTAACTGCGTGTTTTAGTAGCCACATTCTTTAATATTTTCAGAATTTTCATTTCTTTTCATCAATTAACTTCTTAACATATAATTTTTCCCCAGAAACTATAATAGATGCGCAAAACTTTTTGGAAAAAAAAAATCTTAATCATAAATAATCTTTACTCTTTTATTTAAAAACCATGTTTTAATTAGTGAAATATTTGTATGGCTAACCACATTTCTAATTAAAATTAAATCTTCATTTTCATTAAAATTAAAATATACACAAACCTATACATGTATATGTGTTATACTTTTGTAAATTTCATTATTCTTTAAAGAAAAGAAAAAAATCTCTCTAACAATATTGGGTTTTTTATTCATTTTATTATTATTGTTTTAATATTAGAAAGTACGCAAAAACAAAAAAAAAAACAAGAAATAACAAAAAATTAAAAATAATAAAAAGAAAAGTGAAAAAAAGAAAACATTTAAATTAAAAGGCTGTGTATTAACTGTGTGTATCCAACCCAAACCTTACAAAAGGCTTCTTATTAAATTGTTTTATTAAAAATTAAAAATTCATGAAGTAAAAAATCGTTAGTTTTAAGCCCCCGAACTTTTTTAAAAGAAAATTTTTTTCTTTGTTTTGTTTTTTTTTTTTTGATAATTGTTTTTCAGCCAGCAGGTATTTTATTTATTTTTCCTTGGATTGCTCCTTGGATTTTTTCTGTTTTGTTTTTTTTTTGGATATGCGATTAAAATGAATTTTTGAAGAATTTAATTGTTGTCAAGGTTACACTGTAAAAAAAAAATATTCAGTCCGATAACCTTCTTTAACTTGCTCGCTGCTTTTATTTTTTTATTTTATAATTTTTTTTGTTTCTTATTATTAAAATGAAAATCCAACCAAAATTTATAATAGAAAGTAAACGATTATTTTTTCTTCTTGTAAAGTTTTTCTTATTTTTCTCAGTGCTTTTTAATAATAATGAAAAAAAAGCTTCTCTTTCACTTTTGTTTGCTCTCGTATAATTGTGGAACTCTTTTCTCTTAAATATTCTGTACGCAATTATTTCTTTTTTTTTTATGTATATACAAACATATATGTATATGGTGCCTCTTAAATTATATAACTGGTATATAATAGTTAATGATAATATTTTGTACATGAATATGGGGGATTATTCAAAGTATATAGAAATTATTTACGAACATGTTGGCGAATTATGTCCTTTATATACAATAATCTCTGATTTACATTATACATATACATATGTAATAATATACTTATATACGCGTTTGTTTATAAAAATATTTGCTCTTATAATTTTTTTGCAGCATATATCTAGAAAATATTTAAGATTTCCTTTCAGTTCCCAAATCTAGCTGTAAGCTATATAACAAAGTATTTTTTTTTAAAATTCGTTCAAGTCGAAAAAAAAGTTACTTGAACTAATATGTGATTAAGTTAATATAGTAGATATTTATATAGATGTTTATATAGACATGTAAGTGTTTCTCTCTTTATTATATAAATCATACCTTAAAAATATACACGTTAAACATTAAACTCTCGTTTACCTATATATGTACATATATATATACATGTATATTATATTTACAAAAATAATAATTGTGTACATTAATACACGTGTATATAAGTATATATATATATATATATATATATACATATATATATATATTATAAATGAAAAATAAAATTTTAATAAAGTCGGATGTAAAACGATAGGGAAATACTTTAATTGTCCTTTTACACACATTGTGCAATACATTCCATATATACATATATATATATATATATATATATATATATATATATATATATATGATTCGATTAAAAATTGAAGTGCTGAAGTGAAACGATATACTTTATTTATATGTACATATATGTATGTAGATATATAGTATATGTGTTCTATGAAATTATATTAGTGTAAAGGGATGAAGAAATCCTGCGTTTTTTTTTTGTTTTTTATTCTTCCGTATATAATAATATTATTTTTTTTTTTATATTGTAGAAAAGAAAAAAAATTTGACGGACTATAGGGGATTCGGTTGTCATGTTAAATGTAATAAATATGTTAATTATAATATTTATTTACTATATTCACGATATTAAAAATATTATGTTGAATATGTTGAATATAATTTTTGAGGTTAGAGTTGATTAAAAATTAGTTTTTCAAATTATATACTTTTTGTCCACTGCTCATCTCAAAAGTAAATTTTGAATTTATTGGTACATGTGAATACTTTTGTATGTATATAGATTGTAACCAACTCAAAAACTAATGTAATTTTTAGTTAAGATAGTTTTTATTTAATATGAAACTTGAAGGGGTGTATTTTTATCCCAAAAACTTCTGAAAACAAATGAACTACTAATTAACTCGGTATTTGGTGTAAAACAATGATCGGTTTTGTGATTGAAATAAATTTTATTAAATTTTTAAAAATCATAAATTTTTTCATTAATTAAATGAGCTTCAAAAGTCTTTAAGAGTTGGGGCAGTTATGTGTCATAATGAATAATCTTGTATTGTAATTAATATTTAAAGATCTTTTAATCATTCTTTTACGAATTAGTAGAGAAGTGAAGAGGATATTGTCAATCATCACTGATTTTGGCAACAGTAAAATAAATTCAAAAAGCCCAAAAAAAAAAAATTTTTTTTTTTAAGCAATTTTGAAGAAATCTTCCCACACCCCTTTTGCTCTGCGGGTCCATTCAACGTTTTTGTACCGTTCGGAGTATATGTCCTATTCACTTCTATTTTGTTCTCTAAATGGTGAATATGTATATTATTTTCTGTGTTTTCAGAGTTCTGTGTTTGTTATTTGTCATGGCCAATGCGTGTTTCAAATGATTCGTAATCACTTTATTTAGCATTGCTAGCAGTTTTTTCAGGTCACTTTTTTGTGCGAGACAGGGTTCATTCCAACATAGAAGGAGCACTTTAACGCAACAATTGAATATTCTCAGTTTTGTGGATCTGGATAAAAGTTTTCATATCTTCCAAAATCGTCCTAAAACTGAAAATACCACTAAGCTAGTTGAAATAAGTAACATTATTTATTGGACTTGTGTCGACTACAAATCTGCCAACGTTATACTTCGTTTTGATTCCAACTCCTTCGACCTGTTTGCCAAGTTTTGGTCTTATGCCTAAGTACGTATGAGACATTAGGGCTATGAGTCTTAAGAGAGTGTATCGTGAGGTTCACTTAGGAGGGCGCTGTAGATCCGTAAGCTTTTCGCGATTCATTGTTACTCCATTTACACGAGCTCCATTTACACGCGTTAGTAAAGACACTAGTGAGTGTGAACTGACAAAAAGAAAACTGAAACTACTTATTATTATAAGAACTCTTAATATTATTCAATTGCTTATTATTGAATTCTCAAATACACAAATAAAGCTCTTCAATCACATCATAAAAATAATTAATATTAAATTGTTTCCAGTATAAATATTTTATTAAAAACTTTAAAATATAAAATTCTTTTAAATTATTTCTGTTTTATTTTTACAGAATACAAACAATGGAATGAGTAAAATCATAAAGTAGACCTACAATCAAGAACAATTTAACAAAATTGAAATAAAGGCTGAATATTAGTACAGAATAATGTTAATATTCCATACCTAAAATTTATGAAAACAGATTAAAGAAGTTACTGGTTAATATTGAAATACCAAAATTTTGTATTTTTACAGAGGTTTCATATTGCTAACAGCAATTTAAATTAAGGAGCTTACGGAACAAGTTTCCTAAAGCATACAAAAATTTTTTTTTGTCCCAAGATTATTCTTTTTTCAAATTAGTAACCCAAAATTTGTATTTACATTGTAATTTTTGAATGAAAAATTTTTTAAAAATAAGAATGGACAAAAATACCGACTGACTGAGAAGTGCATCTAGAATTACAAAATTTTGTCAGTCAAAATCTATACGTATATATATATGCACGAATAAAGCTGAAGAATAGTACTTCCAAATTATATAAATTATTTAAAATATTTAAATAATATAAAAAACAAAAAGGCAATATTGGAAACATATTTTTATACAATTATTATATACTGATATATACTGATATATACTGATATATACTGAAATATACTGATACATATATATATATATATACTAAAAAAATTTAGTGAAGACGAAATATTTTTTAAATAAATTTCAAGAAAAATTTATCAAAACATCAATAAAAATTTAAGGATCGCCAAATTTTTATGAGATATTCGTTGGCTGCTACTATTTAGAATTGTAAATTGTTCTCTATATATAAATATATACAACTCTTAAATATTTTACGTAATTTTTTAATAAATTAAATATGGGGAAAAAAAATTCAAAATTGAAACAAGATACCATCGATCGTCTTACAACAGACACATACTGTAAGTATAAAAATTTATACGACATTAATAAAATATTTTTATTTATAATTTTTTTTGTTAAATTAATTTCTATATTTAAAAATTATTTACTTATAAGTTAAATTAGTATTCATTTTCATAATCGCAATATTACAAAACAATAACTGCAACACATAGTATTGCAGTTCATATGATTTAATTGAGGTATTCATATTAATTTCGCTATATTACGTGAGCGAACGTAACTTATTTAATTGTCAGTTTTCAAATAGGACATACGTAATTAAATTGAAGTACTCAAAATCAAGTTGTTGTTTACGTAGCGTAGAATCACTGTGTCGAATATGTCAAAATAATTTTTTCTTGTTTTGAATTTCATACTTGAAAAATTCAGATGCTAAATTAATTGCTGTTTATATTTATCTTCCGAACGGATACTTAATAATGGGGTAAAAAAACCTACACTAGACTCCGATATTTTTGTTTTAGTTATAGTTTTAGAGAGTAGGTTTGGATCGTTTTACGTATTTTTATTTTCTAGAGCGATTTTCCTGATTTTTTATACTATGCCAAAGTTTGTAAACATAAAAGCTGCTACTCATACATGGTCTTTTTACCCAAAACATAAAATAAACCTAGTGTTAAATAAAGGTTATTTAAAATAATTTTTAAGTAACATTGAAAATGTTAATAATACTAAAAAAATATTATGTAAAATTATTGAAAACCCTAATTCTAAAATATTAAATACACTTCTTGTACTACAATTTTCTATTAACCAATTCTTGTGATATCCTATATCTGTGAATATTGATGGGTATCCGATAGTAGCTAAATCAAATCTTTGTAACATTATACCAGTTAATTTATTATTACAAACTAAAACACCTCCAATATCTGTTTGAATTTCTTCTTGTAAAGTATCTATATGACCAGCACAGAACATTCCATTTTCTAATTGATTATCAAATTTTATGTTGCATTCTTTAAAATTATATGCGGTAACGTTTCCAACTTGAAGTATTTGATCACCTTCATAAAACTAGAAAAAGAATGATATAAAACAATGATATAAAATTATATAGGCCCTAATTTTTCAATTTTACTTTTAACATAATTGTATGTAAACTTTGAAGTATAGAATTTGAAGTTTGGTTTGTTATATAAATTTTTGGCTTCAATTTCGTATGGTAATTTTGTGTACGGCAAGTATATACTGTCATTTAATTACTGTCACAAAAATGACTTTTTAATTTAAAAATTCAATTATATATAATTAAACTAAATATTAAAATAATTACTGTAAAAATTAAAATTGTTAAACTTTATATGTGAGAATGCTGTTCCGAAGATATTGTTTACTTTAATTTTAATTCTCAAAAATGTGCAATAATAGTGGAATTCAACAGCAATAAGTAAATAAACAAAGGTTTAAATCGTGACGTTTGACACATAAAAATGACGCCAAATTTATATTATATACAATCGTAAACTTCAATTAAAAGTTAAATATATAATTAAAATATAAAAACAAGAATTATGTATTACGATAAAAGTATTAATTATATAGCTTCAATCACTCGTTGGGCATCAGTTTCCAAGTTTTATACAAAATTTTATTTATTTTTTTTTTTTACTTTTATTTAAAATGGTAATTTAATTATTACAATACGTGACTTTTATCATAATAGCAATTTAATCAAATGCAGTCTCACATTCAATATGCATTGTTTTTATTACAATAAGGAATAAATTTTATGTAGCACATACATACACATATTGCCATGCATATTCATAACATATAAATATACTTATATATTGTATACTTACTGGTTCTAAATCAGTATTCCAGGAGAATGAGAAACAAAATTGTCTCTGTTCTATTGGTGAAATATTGATTTCGGGTACATTGATTTCCTCTTTCATTAAATATGTACTTAGTTTTATTAAAGCAATATTATAGAAATCAGGAGATTGAATATTAAATTTCTCATGTATTATGTATGAATGAACGTTGTATATTCTCGTTTTAGAATTATATTCATATTTGCTTGGTGTTCCGAAAACTGCTAATAATTCATCAGGTTGTTGTTTTTCGAATCTATAAAATACAAGTTATATATTTAATTTAATTATATACAAATTGGATATGTGTATACATTTAAATTACATGTAAATGCAAGATGCAGAAGTAATTATTAAATTTGATTTTGATTTATTATATGGGATGTAAAATGTTCCACTACAAAAATGTCCACTTCCAAATTTTTTTAATTCTAAAGATTTTCTTCTCAAAGAAATTACGAAGTCAGAATTTTGATTTGAAATTCTTTTTGAAAAATTTGTGAAAGAATTTTCAATCCAATTCTTATAATAAGAAACTTCAGTGTATATCCCTGGCCAATGTGCAACACCACATTTTTCACCCCATGAAACTAATCCAATTAATTTTTTATCACATACTAATGGACCACCAGAGTCACCTGCATATTGAAAAAAACTTTGAAGGTTATACGTCTGTTAAAATGTCTAAATGTTAAAAGAGAATACCTTGACAAGAATCAATACCATCTACTAAAGCTTTAGCACAAATCATGCCAGGTTTTAATCTTTTATTGTAAATTTTTAAGCATTCTTCAATTTTAGTTAAGTAAACATTAGCTACAATTAAAATTCCAGATCCTTGCAAGTCACCCTAAAAAATAAAAAAAAAATTTAATTGATCTTGGACATTTTTCATATCTTTCAAACTATCTGATTAAAAAAAAGAAATAAAATATAAAAATGTCAAATAAATTATCATAATTACCGCTTGTCTTACACCCCAACCGAAAATCTGACATAATGATCCTTCGTTTATATCAGCTGTAGCAAATTCTATTGGTTTCACAATGGGATTATTAATCGGCACGTCTTCTTTTAAAATAAACATCCCAATATCATTTGAAAAATCTTCAGCATTGAATTTTTTATGAATTATTTTATAAACTTCATATATAAGGGTATAATTAGTTTTATTAAATCGAGATAAGGTTCCCATAACAACATGAAATTCATGTTCACTGCGTACTTTGACTGGCTTCTCTTGATAACTAGAAAACAAAGTTACAATTTGAAATTTAAATAATTAATCTTTCTAAATTAATTAGTATACTTAAGAAAGCAATGAGCTGCAGTTAAAACAACATTAATTTTAATTAAAGTACCGCCACATACATGACCAAGTCCAAAATATTTTTCGTCTAAAACTTTTAGTCTAACGGATGCAATGTGCTTAGAGTTTTCAATAAATGCAAATGATCCACCAATAATTTTTTGAGACTGAATTTTTGTTTGATTTTCATTTGAAATATTGTGCAAATTGTTGTAATTCTTAACTAGAAACTGTAGTTCATTGTTTGGAACAGAAAATATATCCTTACAATTGCATAATTTTAAAAATATTATTAAGAGAGTATGATACTTCATTTTCGATTAATTCAATTTTATTAATCAACTTTAATATTTTAAAACGAAAATACAAATAAAAAAATTATGTAATAGCAAATTGAAATCGTTAAAGTCTACGTCTTTTACACATTTAGATCTAGCCTAGCCAACCAAAATAAACAAATTCATTGTTTATGATTCAATCTTTATAAAAAAAAAATAAAAACGATTTAAATAAACATTTCTTTGGAAGAGTTTTATATGCCGCGACATTGTCGTAGTTTATTACACTAAACTACATACTTACATATATACAAACAAAAATTATATTGCATGTACATAATAAGTACATTACCGATATAAATGTATGTCTATGAGTAAGTGTTGTGGTTACATGACGAAATTACTTAAGACAAAATTACATATTTCAATTTTTATTAAAAATTAAAAATTATTTTAAGGTTACAAGACTCCCAGGCTAAAAGATATTGCGTATAAGAAAAATGCTGGATATTATTCGTTTCAATTAAGAGGATTGTTATTATCCAAACCCGTACTTTTGTATATAAAAAAATATAAAATATATACATACATATTTTAAGCCAAATTTTGTAGACCGCTCTGCACTATTAAACCATTTGATCGTCTACAACTTTGAGAGAAGAATATCGAGAATACTTTTAGCAGTAGCACCTTAAAAACTGGTTTTTAATTTAGTTTATTTAACATTTAATATAGTAGACTTGTTCAATAGAATAGCCCGCGTGTGTAATGGGTTCATTGGGACTGATTTCTACTGTACATATATAATTATTGATTTTTAAACAAAATTTCATATAAAATTTGTCATATGAAATTTTGTAATTTTATATTGTGATATTGTTCCGATCCCATTATATAACAGTCTGAAATATAATACATATTATAGCCCAAATTATATTCTTAATAATAATAATTATCACTCAATGAATATAAAATTTAAATACAAGAAGCTAAATTATCAATGAACATATAGAATATAATAAAACTATTCTTTATAGACTATGACTTGTTGGCAAGACTCTTATATATGTATATAGCAATAAGAAATATTTAAATTATAATTTGTTATTATAAGAAATAATATGGCACTAAAGTGAACGTAAAATTAACATTTTTTTTTGTATTTTATAAGAAAAAAAACTCTTTTTAAAATTGAATTTAAAATTGACATATTTGAATCAAAACGACATCTGGAGTACATTGATATAAATTGTCATCAATTATGTAATTATTAAACACTTAAGACTTTGAACAGTACGTAATTTTTAATATGCAACCCAATATTTTGTGTACAGAAAATGTTATCATACATATCATTGAACTAAAGAATTATTTATGTACCGCCGGGCCCTGATTTGAGTATGACAATTTAAATGATTTCGCGATTTGTCATTTAGCAATTCTATTTCCCATTTTTATTAAATTCCACCAAAAATTATAAAAATAATCTCATTTTAATTATTTTTATTATACAAATTTATTTGATATACATAATGTATTTATATATAATTATATTTTAATATTTATTTTACTTTAGTTACTGAGAAGGAAATTAGACAATGGTAAGTAAATATTTTTCTATACATATATCTTTATAATAATTGAAAATAACCCTTTTTTTTCCCCTTGTTCCAATTTAGGCATAAAGGATTCTTAAAAGACTGTCCTAATGGATTACTTACAGAACAAGTGAGAAAACTTATTTAATATTATTAAGAAATTTAATATTTAGCGTTTGTGTAAATTACGGAAATTCAAGTCATAAAAAAACATAATTTTTTGTTATTAAAATTTATAGCCTAAATTTTCATAATATTTTCTATATAGCTATATAAAATATTTCTTATACATATATACATATTTTGTATATAAAACAAATTAAAAAAATTTTATTAGTTAATACTTTTAGCAATAAAAAAATTTATTTACATTAGAAAGAGAGAAAAAAAGGGATACAAGTTAATATACGTTTATTTTCTTCTTTTATAATTCTATATAAAACTTTTGCGGTTTTTCTACTTTCTTCATTTATTATTATTATAAAATAAAATTTCTGTCTTTATGTTCTGCCAATAAGTTTATAAGTATATATGTATATATACGCGAATCTATATAATTTTCCTAATTTAGGGTAGTAGAGGTTAAATATACTGCAAAAGGTTTTCTTTACTTTTCAATCCTTTGATATGAATGAATTACTTACATTCCATTTGAGGGTATATAACAAAATTACTCCACATGAGGGCAAATAAATTATTGTTATGAATATAATATGTAAGTAAAAAAGTACAGTGTAGTTTATTCATAGTGCTATATTACGTTAAACGGAACGCACCATATGTATACTAAACATATATGCATTTAGATATATATATGCATTTAGATATATGCATATAGATATATATGCATATATCTAACATATATGCATTTAGATATATATGCATTTAGAGAACTACATTCACTGCAGCGTCAAAAAATTCATATGACGAAACATGAAACTTAAAAAAAAGGTTTGCGTCTAAAACAAAATGTTATATTGCTATACGTCTTCTATAAAATTTATGATAGAACCTAAGATTTTTAAAATATTTAACTTAAAAGTTGAATTTAATGTTACATACATAGGTAATGTGTTATACGTTTAGAACATTGTATGCCCTTTAATTGGTGTGTTTCTTTTTGCAAAATCAAATTATTATAAATTTCATCCACACTTCATATATATAACTTTTATCACTTTGTTAAAAGAACAATTTTAAAATAAATAATTACAAATTTATTGATTTCTTATTAAAATTAAGAATGCTTAAGCTTGATATTATAATAATCCGATTCAATTAGAATTGAATTTAAAAATCATATTGCTACATTATATAGAACTTAAAGATTTGCAGTATGAATTTTCTAAAATTTTTTTTAATAAATATTTTATTTTCTTATTTTTTATTGCCAAAAATTCAATTTATCCCTTTTAATCATTTTTATCGAGAAAGGGTTTTATAAAGATATACAAACAGTTCTTTCCACAAGGAGATCCTAGCAAATTTGCATCGCTTGTTTTCCGGGTGTTCGATGAAAACAATGTAAGTATAAGTTTTATATTCTCTAATTAATGTTTAATCTCATATATAAAAGAAATTAATGTTAATTCATTGTTACATTTATTTACTTAGGATGGCTCAATAGAATTTGAAGAATTCATTAGAGCGCTTTCAGTGACATCTAGAGGAAATCTTGACGAAAAATTACATTGTAAGCGATTGTCACATAATTGTCAAATTAAGAAACTTGACGTGATCTTTGTTTATAATAAAAACAATAAAATTTTTTGATTTAGAAATTTTAAAACGAATTTTATTTTTTTTATTTTTAGGGGCATTTAGACTATATGATGTTGATAACGATGGTTATATAACTCGTGATGAAATGTATAATATTGTAGATGCTATATATCAAATGGTGGTAGGTATCAAATTAATTTTAAAACTAATTTATACAAGAGCATACATAGGAAAGACTAAAACAACTATTGTAAAGACAACGTGTTTTACTAACCATTTACAATATTAAATATTAATCAATAATAAAAAATTCTATTGAAGATAATGGCTATACATAGTATATGATTTAAGCGTAACCTTTATAGAGTTTTCAGAACTCATAAAGTAGTAAACGTGAAAATGTAATTGCAAATCTTTGCAGTAAATTGGAAATCGAATAAGTAACTTTTTGAGTAAATAAAATACGTTTCAGGCGTATAGAACAGTAAAAAGGTTAAGTCATTTTACTATGAACGAAGGATATTAAAAGCTGTACTTGTGAGCCTAAAGTTTAAGATAAAAGCTTAAATATTTTAATTTTGCATTAAATATAAAATTAATTCAATAATGTATTTATTATTCTTTAATGTATATTTTCAAAATTCTCTATATATTTTAGGTTGTCGTGGAGGCTAACTTTTTATTTATTGTCGTTCTTGATCAAACATACTCTATAGAAGTGACTTCAACCTATTAAAGATTTTGATATTTTTATATAAATATTTTCAATTTAAATTCTTAGAAAACAAGAATATTTTTTAGGAATTCAAAGTTTAATCTTTAAATATCTCAATGCTATAAAATTTATTTAGTTTTGCAATCAACAAAATTAACAATTTCTAATTAAATTTATTACAAAAAGAAATTTTATTATAATTTATTCTTTATTATCTTCGTTATATTTAACTACAGTAAATAGCTTTGGTTAATAATAGAGTTTCGGTTATGACTTATATTTCCTGGGATAATGAAAACAATTCTTGGTATTAAGAAAAAAATATAATTACTTACCCTAAGTCATTTTAATACTTCAAATATAAATTGAATACTTTAAATTTTGAAATATTACTAAATTATATCAGTGAGGTCCGGATTCGATATATAAAGTTAGTATTTATTAAATTAACTTAAAATTATAAAAAAAAAATAAAACCAAAACAAAAGGTAATTTTTTTTTGTATTATCATGTGAATTAAGTAAATTTAGTATACAAACCTTTCCATTTTCATCCCAAGTAAATAATAAACTGTAGTAATATTAAATAATAAATTTAACTTATTCCTTTCATTTATATAACTTTAAATAAGTAAATATTTTTATTGCTTTCATTTATTTGATTTAATTAAAATTTAATATTTAACATAAATAAATAATTGTATACAAATCATTTTAAATTAAAACCAATTCAAATTTTATATTTTTAATTAAATAAAAGTAATTTATTAATTAATAACAAAATTTATTATTTGCATCGTAGGGACAACAACCCCAAACTGAAGATGAAAATACACCACAAAAACGAGTTGATAAAATTTTCGATCAAATGGATAAAAATCATGATGATCGTTTAACTTTAGAAGAATTTCGTGAGGGTAGTAAAGCTGATCCACGTATAGTACAGGCATTAAGTTTAGGTGGTGATTAACTTAACAACTAAAAAAAAAATCAACTTTCAAAATGAAATTTTAGACGAAAAACAAAAAATAATAAGATTATATATATATATAAATATATCGTTAAAATAATTATTACAAAAACATTTTAAAATTTATTATAAGAAAACAACAACAAAACAAAAATAAAAAATATTAAACTGAAATCCTAATTTATAACTGAGAAGAGTTAAGATCTATGCGGTTTTAGTTGGATATTTTGTAGTTAATAAGAATTCAGAAAACTGAATTATTTTTAAGACTCGCTACTTTACTAAGAGAATATGTGTGTATAAATATATATATATAATATATGTATATACATAAATATACAATATTTATTTAAATATATATAAATATGATGAAATATTTTATTGCCTGTATATGCCATACTTTATATATACATACTTAATATGTTTTCTTCTTATTTAATAAATTTTCGACATTGTCGTTTTAAAAATTAAAAAAACAAAAAAATAATCAGAATGAAAAACATTTATTTCGTATATAAAAACGTAATCTAAATATTTTTAATTTTTATTTTTGAAATAGAGAAAAAATGTATCTAATAAAATAATATAATTGCATACTCTATTCAATTTTAACTACACATTAGAAAATTCTTGTATTTCCTTGTAACATAATATGATTTTAATTATTAACATTCTAAAAGCCCAAGCTTTTTTATAGAAATTTAAGAACTACGGATATACATTTATGTTATACAGAATCCATTGATCAAATTAAAATAATTAATATTGAATTAAATTAATTTTAATTTTTTAATTAATTTAATTAAAATAACATTTTCAAATTAAATTATTGTATTTAATAAATTTATTCCTCAAATTAACATAATTTAATTGTGTCAAGCTAAAGTAAAGACTTGCACATATATATATATATATCAATATAATTAATAATAAGCAATATTAAATAATTTTGTTAATTCCAGTGTAACTATTCAGCAGTAATTTAAAATTTTAATCGAATAAATGGAAAATTCATATTCTTCATTTTCATCGAAAAGAAAACTAAAAACATTTGGAAGACATTTCCTCTTCTAATTTTAATATTTGTCATTTATACTTTTGTTAGTTTATTTTAAAAAAAAAAAATAATGTTTTACCTTAATGACAAATAAAAAAATTTCGAGTTTTGCTTTTTTGTCATCTCACATTTAGTGTAATATGGCTGCTTATAAACTGTTCTGTCAAATATGTTTCTATTGACAAGATCGCATATGTTATATTTAAAACGTAAACAAAGAAATGTCAAAAAATTTTTCTATATTTATCTCTTTTTTTTTATTCTTAATGATCTTGTACAAAATGATCTTTTCGAAAGCAGAAAATGTCAGTCTCCAACAAAAGAAAACTTTTGTAGCGAGGAAGAATAATGGTACATAAAATAAACAATAATATTGCATAATTATAATTATTATTATATACAAAAAACAAAAACAAATATACTCACATAATTGTGCATAAATATAATATTAAAATGATTACGTTTTTATTCCATTATACGCTTTCATTTAATTAAATAAATAATTATTATAATGAAAATATTCTCAAAGAGAAACCAATCCACCCGAAATAACATGAATATTATATAGGAATGTGTATATGATAAAAAAAAAACAAAAAAAAACTTTTTACATAAAAAAAATTATAATAAGAAGAGTATTAAGAGCGTTGAAAATAAATATACTCTATAAATACATATATATTATAATATAATTTATATAATAAAATATAATAATTATTATATACATACATTAATATTAATCGCGCTAACTTATATACATAAATTGTTATAAAACAAAAGGAAAACACCAACATAGAAATATTAAAAAAGAAAAATTAAATAAAAAAAAATAAATAAATAAAATAATTATGTTAAAAGTTTTTTATTAACAAAAATTTAATTATTTATTTACATAAATTATGAAGAGAAAAAATTTAAAAAATTAAAAAAAAAATTATGTTACAAAATAAGAATTTAAAAAATCTAAACTAAAACTAAATTTTCAAATTGTTATATACCTTTTTTTAAAAAAAAAAAACAAAATAGCAATTTAAGCAAAAATAAATAATTTGATTAATAATTTAGGTAAATAATCAAAAAAAAAATTAAATAAAAATTTAAAATTTTTTAAAATTAAAATAATCAAATATTAAAAAAAAGTATGAAAGCAATGAAAAAAAAAACAAAAATTAAGTTATGGTTTTAACTCAAATATATAAGCATATATTATATAACACTTTTAAATTATGTTCATATATAATTTATTTTATACTTATATATATATAATAATATTATTGCATTCTTAAATATTTCATAATTGTATACAAGTTATATTAATTATATTATACCAATAAAAAATTAACAAAATTCTATAAAATTACAAAATTATCATTATTGTTATATTGCTTTTACATTATAGTTTTATTTATTTAAATTATTTTCTATTTGTTATTATTATTATTAATTTTCATGTTTGTCATGATTATTATTGCTATTTATATAATAATTATCATGTAAATAATATTTAATCGTCAATAAGTTTATATCAAGGCAAAAACAAAATATTAGAAGAGATAATTGTAATTGAAATATTGTCATTATTATTAAAGAATAAAAATTAAAGGCATATTATATTCAAAAACATGTCAAATTATGTTTACTGTTTCACGTTATGTCAAATTATGATTAAAACTCAAAAATGTGTAAGAGCTCTACAAAAAAACATACAAACTTATTAATAAACTTTTTAAATATTTGAAATAAACACTTTACTAACTATCAAAATAAATTTCACCTAAAATTTCGATTACTGTTTAATTATTTTTATGAATTATTATAAAATTTTTTTTTACAAAAAATTAATTTTCAAGTCAAATATTCGTGCCTTGATTTAAAATTATTGTTTAAAATTTAACATTCAAAATAAATTATCATTATTGCTTTATTTTATTATACCTTATCAATTTCCTCTCTCTTTCTCTCTATCATATTGAAATTATGACAAATATACTTGTACTAAAAATAATTGTGTTAATTTTTCGAATTAACTATTTGAGCATAAATATTATTGTTTGATTCATTGCGTGTAAAAATTAAAATTATTATATGAATACATGTACGAATGTTAACATTACGAATGTAATAATTACAATTCTCAAGCAATAAACGATAAAGTTGACAACAATTTGACATTTAATTGCCTAATAAAATGTCAATCGTAATAATAATATGAAGGTGATAGTTAAATTTCAATATTAGTTTTAATTATGATTTTTTTATTTTTTTAAATTGTTATAAGAAATATATTATATAATAGATATTTACTATTAATTTATAAAAAAAATCAAAACATTTTTTTTTTATTTTACAAAATATAGCTCTATTAGCTGTTTTAACAATTATTCATTGCAAGACATAATTTACATATAATATAAAAACTAATTTCGAAACGAAAATAAATATAAATTATTATTAAAAAAATAAAAAAAAATTAAAAATTAATTTTGAAAATAAAAAAATAAAATATATATTTTAATAATTTTATTATGATATAAAAAATTTTAAAAAATTTGGAAGAAAAAAAAAATTTTATTAAGGAAATTTTAATGTCATCATTCTGATTTAATTTCTTTTCTATATGTGGTTCAGCTTTATAAAAATATACTTTAATTACATAATACATATATACACATATATTTACATATAATTCTATTTAAATATATGTATGTATATATATATATTCAAACATGAATATTTACATTTATATATAAAATATTTTATTTCTCAACTCTTTTTTTTTTTTTTGACTTATTGTATATACATATATATTGTTATTATATATGAATAAAATATGAGAAATAATTAACTCTAGCAAATATGTTGAATTAAATTGATTTCAAAATTGCAGTCACACAGTATTACTATTAAAAATTGAACAATAAAAACTCTGCAGGTGAATGATTTTTAAATTCTGCACGTAATTCTAATTTTCAAGTCAGGAATAGTTTGAAATACTTATACTATTACAAAATTTTGCTATATACTCTATTTTATATTTTCATGCATTTTTTTTTCGCCGAGAGTGGAATGTTGTCTCTTCTGTTGCAAAAATATTCTAGTAAACAAATATTTTTTCATATAATAGACTTATATTTGGTCCAAGAACTTGAAATAATTTAGGAGTGTTCCAATACAATTTTTGATTCCCAACATTATGACTTTTGGTAAAAAAAATAACCCCTATATTATTTGCATTCCACTTATATGTTTAAACTTAACTGAACACAACAACACTATCCGCCACAAATGCGTATATGCGGTTTGTGCAGTTATGTTATTTTTATCTTGGTAAATAGAAACAGTATTTCTTATTTACAACGAATCGGTTGTTTTCGGAGTTATTTTGGCATTTAATCATATGAAGCTATATGAAAGCTATATGAAAAATAAACAATTAAATATGAAAAGAGAAATTTTTATAATTCGCCTCAACGGAATGTGTGGTTGAAAAAGAATTGTTAATTTATTCCCTACTAATTAATAACATCGTCTATTCAAATTTGACAAGTAATTTAAATTTTATTCACTTAAATATTTGCTAGTTTTAATTCTTCAAAATATCTTTGTTCATACATGAATTATTTAAAATATTTTAAATAAATTATATACAGAATTAATTCGAAAATGCGTTAATGAATTTATAATTCAAAATTCAATTTGCTTCTATATTATATATTTACTCTATATAACACCATATACGAATGTAATTTACATTCCCATAATTACATTATAAGATAAATAAATTGTTATTGATTTATTTTTCTGTTGCCACATTAATTCATTTTCGAATTCTTTGTTATTTTAATTTTATTCATTTATATATAATGAATTAGATTTTTGTAATATACAAGAAAACAAAAAATATGCATATATATCACAATATATATAAATAATTACAAAATAATTAAAAATATATATTTTGCATAATGTCTAAAATGTATAATAAATTAAATGCGAATTCGCTTGTTATTTTTATTTTTTTTGAAATTTATTTTTATTAAACATTATTTTCATTTTATTGTCATCAATATTATACTCGTATAATTTATATAATATTTTATATATTTAATTTCATTTAAATTTTAAATTAAATTTTTTCAATTTCTGTGATAAATTAAAAAAAAAAACAATCAAAGCTATATTAATTAAAAAAATAAATTTTGAAGAAAAAAAATATTGGTGATTCGAAATAAATAAAATGTTCGAAATAAATTAAATATTATTCACATTATTACAAATTGTATAATAATACATATATAAATAAATAATAATCGGCCATGTTCTGTATTGAATTTGAAAAGTGGTGAAAATGAAATTTGATGAAAACTAATGAATTGGAGTTTAAAAGCTTCCTTAATAATTCTGAAACTACCTTTA